TTTAACACTTGTGGACTTCAACTCCCAGAATTCCTCCTTTAGTCATGTTGGCTCAGGAACTCTGGCATTGAAGTGTGCAAATCTTAAAGCTGTCAAGTTACAAGACCCTTGCACCCTTAACCTTTTAGAAAAAAAACTCCAGGGGTGTTCAAACTTGACAGTTTTAGGACATGTGAACTTCAACTCCCAGAATTCCTCCTTTAGTCATGTTGGCTCAGGAACTCTGGCATTGAAGTGTGCAAGTCTTAAAGCTGTCAAGTTACAAGACCCTTGCACCCTTAACCCTTTAGAAAAAAAACCCAGGGGTGTTGAAACTTGACAGCTTTAAGACTTATGAACTTCAACTCCCAGAATTCCTCCTCTCGCGCTTCATCTTGATGATGTGCGGACGGGCGAGGGGAGGGAGCTGGAACCGGTTCTAAACGGCACTGTAGATTTGTGGAACCTCTTCTATAGAAGCGGTTAGAACTGGCAGGAACCCACCTCTGCCACCCACCCATCTATTCATCCATCCAGGTACTGCCATGTCACTCTCAGAGTAACTCTTCCTTGTAGAGTATTTCGTCTGTGTTTATGCTGACCACAGAAAAGTCAGAGTGATTTAACATCATACCTGTATGTCCTCTGAAAGTTGTTATGAGACTGCTATTTTCTTGTTCTAGTTTAAGGATGGTCACTTGCCCAGAATGATCGCCAATAAAAACATTCCGTGTCTCCACATCAAATCTGGAACAGAGGGGTTCAGGAAACTGGCAATACCGTAAGAGTCTCTCCCCACTTTTCAATGCTTGCATGGACCGAACCTTTTCTCCCCACAGCCATCCCCAAACAAACTACCATTTACTCTCAGGGCTGCTAGCAAGAGGCAGCACCTCAACTGGAAAACATTTAATATCTCCCCTCTCAATATAGTAGACGATAACAACACAAAAATGTTGTTTTTATCATTGAAACTAAATGTTTTGTCCTGTATCTCTACAAGCTAAGAACTGCCTGCTCAAGGGGACCATCGAAGATCTCTCAGCCCAGAGAAGGAGAACTGTGCTCTGGATTTACATTTTTTCCTATATTCATGTTCTGTGGAACAAACAGATTCTTACACATGGAATTGAAAAAAATGACTTAAGTCCCTTTTTCACATTTATAACCGCTGCAGCATCATTATGGTCAAAATTGGGACATTGGACAACTGGCTCATATTTATGACGGTCACAGTGCCTCAGGGTCATGCGATCACCTTTTGCAACCTTCTGACAAGCAAAGTTGATGGGAGAGCCACCTTCACTTAACAAACGTGTTACTAACTTAACAGCTGCAGTGATTCACTTAACAACTGTGACAAGAAAGGTAGTTTCAAAGTAACGTGATTGCACCTGTATACTGTTGCTCTTTAATTCCAGTGTAAAAATAGGATAAGCTGAATATATTAATAGATAGTAGAAATACACCGAAGGGAGGAGTAGAGGGATNGAAGGATGGAAGGCTGAGTCAACCTTGAGCCGGTGAGATTAGAACCGCTGAACTGCAGATAACAGTCAGCTGAAGTGGCCTGCAGTACTGCACCGTAACCACTGCGCCACCTCGGCTCTGGCATACACTTGAAGGAAAACCAGGAAGCCAGCAATTGTGAAGTCCGTCTGGCAATAACAAAGAATGCTTATTCAAGTGTAATGAGCACGTGTAAAACTCATAACAATTGGGGTGGGGGGATTAGAAAGCTGATAAAAGTAATAAAGAGTTAAATATCTTGCAAACCTCAGCTAGAATTTAGGAATACAGACAGCCTGGAGCAAAATGGATGTGTATAGCTCCTGAAGCATTTATTAGGCAAAATTTAGGAATAGGGACGGCTAGAGACCAATAGAATAATTATTACAGCATTACTAAAATGTTTATTAGATGATATTTCTTATATATCCCATCTTATCCTGCCTTCTGCTTTAGTGAAAATGTATAAAGCTTTCTTAATTCTATTGTTTAAGGTCACTTAGCATTTTGGCCATGACCTCTTTTCTTGGAGCGCTTCAATAAAAGGAAAAAAACCCCACATCTCTTGTCTGGTATTCTTCATCAGCCTTGGCACAAGTCTCAGACCCAAATTGTGAGCAAGAGCTAAGCACCATAGGTGCTGAAAAGTGAATGAAAAAGAGTGTGGTCTCTGATGTATGAGAGGATATCTGCTTAATATTTGCAAGTGTAGCGCCTGCATGAAAATAGAAAGGTCCGTATTCTTTAGCAAAGTAAAAGCAACAAATCTCAGGCATCAGTCTTTACATTAGCTGAATGTAGGATTCTCTATTAGCTTAGTTGAGAGAGATTGAAAGCATAGTAAAAAGTAAAGGTTTTTAATTCATGTTTTTTTTTTTATTTTTTTGAAAAATTTGCCCAAGAATGCAAAATGTGAAGTTTCACTATATTAATTTGAGAGTTACACTGAAAATTAAAAATTACAATTATCAGCATTTTTTAAAAATATACCGTACATCCTTCCAGAGAAGTGACAAGAATGGGACAATTCGTTTCAAACCATACTTAGTAAAGCACAATTTCAGCAGACTCCCCAGAGGAAATTTCAGAAGTGATCCAACTCACATGGAGGGCCCTTTTAATTACTGCCAACTATAAAACCATTTGAAGTTGTGTGTTTTGTTAGTCAAAACTGGATTGTGTACTTACTGGCTATGCCCAGAACTACAAAGCTTTGGTTGGCTATTTTGATGATGCAATAAACTAAACATTCCAGTTGGTTTTGGAAGAAGAAAAACTGGACTTGGTCTATTTTCTCTCCATGCCCACTCTTAAATTCATAGTACCATTTTCTAGAACATAAATGCAAAAGAGCCGGTTGACCTTTTGTATTTCATAATGAAAGTGAAAATGAAACAAAAAACAGAAATGCTTGGTTTTTCCCTTTTTGTCTCTTTAAGAACAATCTTACCAATATAATATTGCAGGCAACTGCTCACATTTGCAAAGATCCACCACCTCAGCAGCATATCAACACAAAACACAAATAATGTTACATACAGAAACTTCCAGATGAGTTCCAAATGGCTCAATGAAGCCAGACAAGAGAAGTCTTTTAAGGGTTGTTGTTGTTGTTGTTGTTGTTTAAAAAATCTGCATTTTGTGAAGTAGATCATTTGGTGCAAAATCCTCACCCTGAATTTGGTAGGTTACTTGAAAAAAATGCATCCAGCAATATTAGTTCTCTCATTTATCAGTCAGTACATAACTTGCTTCATTTTCTGTTAACAGAATTAAGAATCTCTTCTTCATTAATACTGTATTGCTCCCATTTCAGCACCGCATCAAGATACTACTGGTGTCATATCCCACAACTGTTCAAAGGGAGAAAAAAAGAATAAGGTTGTTAAAACCATCCAGAATCACTGTAGATTCAGTTGGGGAAAATTGCACGCCCACCTTCATAACTTTATCTGTTCCAGATGTCAACAACCAACCCCGTGTTGCATCAAAGTGTACATGGGTAACGCTGTGTTTGCTGTCATGGAAGGTGGCTGTAGGAGCACGTCTAAAGGAAGCACATAACAGGACAAAGTGAAAATACAGGAATTGAAAGATCGCAATATCATATCTAGATACTAAAAATAAGTTAATTAAATCTTAATTCAGACCCTGTGGCCTTCAGCAGCCGCTAAACTATGATTTCTCACAGTACTAGCTATCATAATCATGATGAATTATTTGGGGAACTATCATTCAGCAACATATAAATTTCTCATCTCTGACTTAGATCTAGAAAAAGCTTCAAAACTGACATTTCATTTCTCTCCAGAAACTGGCATAAATTGCCCCAGCAACTGGAAAGGGGCAAGTTACTTACTCCTCATCTGTTATTGATTCATAACAAGTATCACAGATTCTCACTTCAAATTCAAATCCCATCAGAGGTATGGAAGAGCGCTTCGAACTGCATTTACCACACACTGCTTTTCCACACTTTCGGCAATGATGCTGAAATTTAAAAAGCACATAAGATTCACCATGAAAGAGCTGAACTTAAAGAACTATCCCATCAAAGCATATCAAGGTGGATCCTATCAATTTCTCTCTGTCCGCAAAGCTCTGCTTTAGAAACTATATTAGTAAATAATAATAATAACAACAACAACAGTAATAATCACAATCATAATATAATGGTAATCACATTAATGTGAAATGATTTTTTAAAATATTCCATTGTTTCCCTGAAAAGTCCCTGAATCTTCAATAATTTCTTGCTGAGTCACACAAATTAGTTTCCTTTGATGCCCATTAACTTTTGGAATTTTAGCAAATTATATAAACAAAAAGATATAAATGAGTTTCATAAGTGAGAATCAAGGTTAACAAGGACCTGCAATAAAATATAGCATGGATTAATTGGGAAAATCTCATTTTATTTTTCCCTACTCACTAAATATGTTGAACCAGTCAGTTTCTCAGCTGTAGCTTTCAACTCACATAAACTCTTCCGTTTAACCACCGACTGTTTCCTGTTATTATTTTTTTCCTCTAAGACACCCAATATTTATGGTTACTAAGGCATAAAATGTATTATCTTTGAATATGTAACCGTATAAAATATTTTTGAACTACATTTCAGCAAGGTGAAACATCAGAATAATACTTCCAATAAAATCTGAATACTTGAAACATGTCAAATTCAAATGTTTTGTTGACTTCTAGAACACAGGATTTTTCCAAATTAACAAGCTCCTTCTTTTGGACCAGTAGTATAGTTTTGGTTCCACAAACACCCATCTTCCTGAAATGTTTACTGTTGGCACACATGATTTTTGTATCAAAGAGAACAGGAGACAATGTTCAATCACTCAAAAAGCAGCATGACGCATACCTGTCTAAGGCCTATTTTCTTGCTATCCCACATCTGTTTGAAGTTCCAGAAGAATGGCTGGTCACATTTCTGGCAAGAGTCACTATCCAACCATTCTGGTGTCTAAGAAAAGAAGAAGGGAGGAGAGAATCCTTAAACTCAATTGTGCACCAGCCATAAATAGATACCAAGTTTGTACAGTTAAGGAAATATGCTGCTCCTCTCTTCACTGGGACTGGCATAGTGAATTATTTTGAAATTCTACCTTATTATAAATCAACAATTTCTGTATATATTTGCTTATATTGTGAACTTTAGATATACTGTAAAGTTGACAGCCATGAGTTTCAAACAATGGATTCAATCCAATCTCTAAGGTTTCCCTTAAACTGTTTTCTGTTATATATATGGTTTGTCTTGTCTCAATATTTGTTTTTTGAGGTTTTAATATTAGAATGATAATGCCAGTTGACACACTGGAGAATGGCCTACTATTTTCTCTTCAGGAAGTTGACTGTAAAAATCTAAAATATCTTCCTTTGTTGCATATGAATATGTTCCGTGAGTCAATTTTATTCTTCCTTAATATAATCTTGAATATAAATTGCAGCAATTTCCTCTGTAGGAATACAGCAAAATCCCTCTTTTAGGAGACTGCTACTCTTGAATATCTGTTAAATGTATATAGATATCATTCATGTCAATTTACAGCATTTATATTAGCATATAATCATGAAAATATGCCTAACTTTGTAAACAGCATTGTTTGTATACTAACAAATGTATGCAATTGAGGTAAATACACAAAAATACCAAATTAAATGAATTATCTAGATGACTTTGAGTATAGTGGAATTAGTATATCATTATTTTGAGAGGATACATAAACATGAATTTTGTCCATTGCATTTGAAGTTTGGGAAATGAGGCTTGTTAAATTAAGGTTTTACTGTATAGATTTTCTCAAATACCAAACTAAAGAACTGCCTGCCTGCATTAAAAACTTTACTCCAGCTTCTAAGAGAAACAAATATGCGTATCCAGCACCATATTGAATTATATTCAATATATGTAGAGAGGTAGTTCCAATGATATGTGTACTTATGTGTGAGAGAGAACACACCGGATATACAGTATGTCACTCCTAACAGCAATGGCCCTATAAAGCACCAAAGGCTGGGATGGACAATCCTTCATTTATCAGATAGCAATAGCATTTAGACTTGTATATCGCTTCACAATGCTTTAACAGCCCTCCCTAAGCAGTCAGAATATTGCCCCCAACAATGTGGGTCCTCATTTTACCCACCTTGGAAGGATGGAAGGCTAAGTCAACCTTGAGCCTGGTGAGATCTGAACTGCCAAATTGCAGGCAGCCGGCAGAAGTAGCCTGCAGTACTGCATTCTAACCACTGCGCCACCGTGGCTCTGATACATGGGCTCCCAAGCATTCCACCTGTAACCTTCACAAATCTGAGATTGTACCCCCAACATTTGCTGGTAGAACTGCTCAATACAGGAGATATTCTCCTTTCTCTCAAATTAAGACTGGAAATCTTTTCTATTATTACCCTTAAACTTCCTAGCCTTGCAAAACAGCCCCCCAAAATTTGGTGCCATTTAATAAAGTTTTCCTAACAGGAATGGAAGCAGATGTCTTCCAGCAGCATTTTTAGTTTGACTTTCCAAATTAAGCCCCTGATCTAGTCCAAGGCATCTGAAAGACACCAGGCTGAGGGGGAAGTAGTGAAGCAGCCCCCAACAGGAAAACACAATGTTATTATATTGAGTTTTCAGGCAGTCACCCCTGACTTAAATGGCTTTTTGATACATCTTTTGAAGATTATAACTTCCCTGATCAGAGAAAGAGGAAGAACTGACTGGATACCTCTTGCCTCTCAACATCCATATTCCAGACAACGATCCTGCCATCTGCCCCACAAGAGATGAGTTGCCGAGTGTGATGGGAATAAGAGAGGGATTGAACTTTATCACTACAGGGTACAGAGAGTAAAATAAAAAAAAGAATATTAGGAATAATTTATGAATAGGATGAGTAAATGGAACATGCCAACTTTCTTCTCTTGTCTGTCACACATACAAAATCTGAAATCTTCCTCCACATCCTGCCTTTATACACAGCAAAATAAAGAGAAATTTCATGCTGTGGCATTTATTGGGGAGAGTGTTATAATTTCAGCATACTGCTACATAATCTGATCATTACTCTAACAAATAATGATCTCTTTTTGAGACAAGAAAGACAGTCAGGATCTTTTTGTGGTATAATAGAATCCCGGGATTCACCAATTAAAACCAGGTGCAAAGTCACCATTTGAGAGATTCCAATTGTGAAATTTAGACTTTAAAAATTAAACTGGTCAAACAATAAGGAACTGCTCCATTCCAGACATCTGTATGTAGATCCCGCTATACTTCAATTAATACTTTATTATTATTATACTTTAATAATCTTATATAACTGAACTAATAAACTGTTATACATCAATTTTAAAAATTAGCCATAATCTGAAGATAGTATGACCTCAAGTGGTGTCTGCCTCTAAATTCTATTTCACTAATAAAAGATAATGGAATTATTTCAGCCTGGCTTAACTTTCAAAAATAAATGTATGTGTCATATTTGCACAACAGCTTTCCTACGAACCCCTGAAGATATTATTGTATTTTCATGATTAATAACTTTTTCCAGGTAACAAACCCTCCTATTGAGAGACTTCATTCAATGTTTTTGAATGTCAACAATATTTAAACGTCCAAAATGTCATGAAATCTCTCGCAGAAAGCTGATACTTTGTGGCATCCCAGGCACTATAGTGGTTCAGAGTTTGAAACAAGCCCAAGTGGCCTTCGGTTTATTTTGGCTGATTTGTGTTAATATGAAACAGGATTATTTCATTTTCACTTGCTAGAAACGTATTGGGGCATGCTGTTTCAATCTCATTCATTCTGAAAAATTTCAGTTTAACCGCAGTTCTGAACGAGATACTTCGCCTTAAGTGTATGCGACCAAAAGCACCTTTTGGGACTGGGATAAAAAGAGCAAGGCTATAGAAAGAAGCACCTGGTATTCATTTTGTACCTGTGTCCTTGGAGCTCGATGGCTGTTCCTTTTCTTCCTCCAATGTCCCACATGATGATGGAATGATCAGAACTGCCTGAAAATAAGACCCGCTGCACAGGGTCCCAACACAGGGCACTGATTCCACCTGAAAAGATGAGGTTGGGGGGGAGAAAAAGAAAAGAATCAAGAAGATTTGTATTAGTTACATACAATAACACTATTATTGAGTAACTAAAAATCTGCTATTTTCTATAAGGCATTAGAACCCGGGAAGACAATATAGACCAGTGTTTCTCAACCTTGGCAACTTGAAGATGTCCGGACTTCAACTCCCAGAA